GCAGTGGATGAGTTAGTCCGAAGGGGAGCTACTTTTAAGGGATGTGTTAGAGGGACTAGAAAGAGGAGGTGCAAAAGCCTATCATGGCTTCACGTTGCCTCATGGCTGTGGACTAGGAAGCGAGGTTGGAAGGAGAAGAAGCTGAACCCCAAGAAGTGGACAGGATCAAAAAGGTCCCAAGGGAAGTAAGGAGCCATCAAAGTATTTAAAGCAGAGAAATGACCTGATCGAATTGGCCATTTCAAAAGTTCATTCTAGGGCTAGACTGTAGCTCAGCAGTAGAGTTATATGCTTAGCATTTGCAAGTCCCTGGGTTCAAGCCCTGCCACCAACAGCAAAAAAAAAAAAAAAAGCTTATGTAGAAGATCTGAAAACACAGTACTTGAAAAAGCATTAATAAAGGAAATAAGACCAGTAAGGACTGTTGAAATAGTCCAAACCAGCTGGGTGTGGTGGTGCATGCCTGTAATCTCAGCACTCAGGAGGCTGAGGCAGAAGGATCGCTCCAAGTTCAGGACCAGCCTGGGCTACAAAATGAGATGCTGTCTCAAAAAACTGAAACAGACAGAAAGAAATAATTCAAGCCAAGAATGGTGAGGAGAGTAAAGGCATGTGAAGGAAAAGAAATCTAGATTTTTTAATTTGAGCATCTCAGTGTGTGAGAACATAGGAAGAGCTTCAGTGTGCAGCAGCCAGTTGCAGTTATCTTTCAGGCATCTGTGGGGCTCAGGAGAGATCCACTAAAGATTCAGGTTTGCAAGGTAGTCTGATGAACATTGATGGACCCAAGTGTGCTTTCAGAAAAACGGTTGTGTCCAAACTAGCTTTGATGAAAACCAACAAATGGCAGGTGATTTTGAAGAAAGCTGAAGATCTCGGCTCAGAATATTGATTTAGAAGTCATTAGCACAAATGTCTTGGCAGGGTCCATAGGAATAGCAGGGTATGAAGAGTGAAAAAAAAAAAAGGATGCAGTCAAAGACAAGGCCTAGGGCCAGGGTTCTAGCTCAGCAGCACAGTGCCTGCCTGGCAAAAACGAGGTCCTGAGTTTGATTCCCAGTGCAAAGAAAAAGAAGACAAGGCCTGAAGAAATGCCACTCTAAAAAGAGTGAAGTGAGTAGAAGGCACTTGGGAAGAGTATTGCTGTATCAGAGCGTCTACCTGGTGTGTCCCCCTGCTCCCAGCCTACGGCAGTCTCCATGCCCCCATTTTCTAGTTTTTAATCCACTTTTGATCTGCCTACTGGGGATCCTTTGCTAAAAGAAACCAGGTCTACCAGCACAGAAGTCAGCTGGTTCTGGTTTGTCCATGCAGTCCAATTCTCATAAGTTTTTATCTAGGTCTCGTTCTTTAAAGAGCAAATAAAAGTTTTGGCCTGTTTTTCCTTTTCTTCCAAATCAATTCTGATTAAGTGACCTTGTCAGACACACCCTCAAATCTTTGCTCACTGTACTGTCTCAAATGCACCATTTTTTGTACTTCTCCAGTTATCAGAATTTCATTTATCTCTTACAGTCCAGCCAAACGTTCCCTCCCCTGAATCCTTCTCAGAAAATTTCTATGTACTCCTTTTGGCTTTTATAAGTGTATCTCACTCTGCCTTGTTGGTTTTCTACACACCCTTTCTGCATTAAATTATAATGTCCCCTCTCCCGCTCACACAGCATTGCATCCCCAGGGCATCTGGCACGGTACCTTTCTCACAGATGGGCTCGAGATGCATTGGCTTTGTCGGTTTTTTTAATTGACATAGTATCCAAAACTACAATGTCATGAATCAAAGTGATCTTCATTCGTTGATATAAACCTCTAGATACTACATCTCAATGCAAAAGATTCTTTTCTAAAAGAAGAGTATTATAATTGGGAGATTTAGACTCAAATCAGGTACATCATCAGTAATAAATTCTTAAAGAATCAACTGTAGGGCTATGGAGATGGGGTGCCAGTTCATGCAAGTATAGTTTTATCAGAATCCTTTCGCTTTCAAATGTTTGTATATGAAGCTTTCTGGTATAAAGTTGGGTGTGGTATCTCACGCCTGTAATCCCAGCACTCAGGAGGCTGAGGCAGGAGGATTGCCCTGAGTTCAAGGACAGCCTGAACTCTATAGCAAAACCCTGTCTCAAAAAACAAAAGAATAAATAAATAAAATAATTTCTACAAAGTAGATATAAACAAATGTTACATATTAATTTTTTCAAAATGATAGATATATAAACATATACATAGTCAGCATGTAAAAATGGAGCTATAACATATAAACTTGCGGGCCAGGGATATAGCTGAGTAGCACAGCACCTACCTGGCAAGCTCAAGGTCCTGGGTTTAATTCCCAGTACCAAAATAAATAAATACATATGCATGTATTAAAATGTGCCTTACGTAAAGCTTGTGTGCTTAGCAACAATCTACATTGATTGAACTAATTCATTCTTCAGGCTTATAGAAATGTTTGGATGAGTTGTTTTCATAATCCATCTCTCTCTTATGAAGCTGTTATTCATCAGTAAATCTCCATGTGATGAGGAGAGGCATTTACATTCATTCCATTAATCATTCCTTTCACCTAAATGAAAAACATCCCTAGAAACTCTGAGGGTTTGGAAGCAAGAGTCTCTCGATGCTGGTCCTTTCATTTGTCATCTTTGCTTTGCTCATCTTCCTCTCTTCATCCTCTCCTGTCCACATCAGTGGTGTCCATGAAGAGGAAATGTAGTCACAAAACAAGTGTCTGAGGGTGTATCTGGGAAGCAGGGGAAGAAGGGCAGTCCTGCTCCTTGTCTTTGTTGATGGTGTGGGCTGTTACGGGATGATTGTGTTCCAGCCTTGGGACCTTAGTGTTTAAAGATAAAACAAGCTCATAGCGACTCCTCCTTTGTCCCCGCTCCTTGGCCTACAAGAGTCGCAGGGCTCTGCTGCTGAGACCGAACAGTGAGTGAGTGAAGGCATTGAGAAGGGCAGTATTGGGCTTAGTTACAGCTGTCCTTTTCAGATAAATGTTAAAACTCTGAACTATGGATCTGCTACTAACTGAGTATATATAGAATTTGAACACAAGCTAAGAGTCCTTTGTATCATAAAAAAGGAATTGGGTATACCAGTTGTTGTAATGCAGGAAAATAATAATATAATAATACAGTAAGAAAGATGGTGGGAAGAAGGTTTAACCTAGATTAAGTGAACTTTCTGAGGCTGTCACAGCATACATTTCAAATGAACAGACTCTTATGAATAAGATTGGTGAGACCTGGATGTGGCAACAGGTAGCTTTCAATGGCTTATGATATATAATTCAGTTTGACTTCTGTACCCTTAACTTCTAAAAATAGATTCAAGTTGATGAGAATTTCTGCTTAGAGCTATATGTTGAGTACTTTAAAAAAAAAATTCAGTGGTTCATATACATACATATATTTTTGTTAAGGTTCTGGTCTTCCCATGGGCAAATTGATAGAGATACCATTTAGACTTTGTAAACAACAAAGCAGTCAATCTTTAATTTTTATTGTGTTAGGAATTTATTTTACAAGCCTGTAAAGAAACTGAAGAGATTCTATTGTGATTGGTGCTGAGTTGTTTTGATGGTTTTCTCTGGTCGTTGCTCGATTGAGTGAGGGTGGGTAGACTTTTTTGCAGTCTAAATTAGTCTTTGAATCTGAAAGCTTTCGTGTGATATATTTCTTTTTTTGCAAAAGTGAGTCTAATCAACTTCAATGGAAGTAAAAAGTCAAGGTGTCATTATTTCTTTGGTTTTTGAGTCACTTATTTTAATCCCCACCTTTCTCCAGGTCTCTTCTTTCTTTAATGATTGCCTTTATTAAAATAATGCTTGTCTTTAAACTGTACAACTACCAGCAGTCACATAGTTGTGGTCTACAAAAGCATAATATCCTCTGGAGATCTTTATAATAAGCAATGTAATACTTACTGAAAGATCCTCAGTGCCAAATCTTGCTGAAGAATAATCTTGCAGAAATCTGATTGTGAAGGAAGAAATCTAAAAGGGCAGAACGAGCATCATTAGAGATAACCCTGGGAAAAGCAGTAGTTACTCAAACAAGACTGAAAGAGAAAATTCTACTCCTTTTCTTTCACTTCATTTTAGTTTTTTATTTTCTGAATTTTGAATTTAATTAATTATGTAGATATATCTTTTTATTTGTATAAAATTCATAATAATAACTTTTAAATAACTATGTTCTTTGTGAGTATTAAAAGGATCTTTTCCATCACATCTCTTAAGAAACCTTTGAAGTATATTTTATAACAACAGTGGGTTGATTTCTACAATACTCTGTGGCTTTTTTTTTTTTTTTTTTTGGTATCAGAAATCAAACTCAGGACCTTGCGCTTGCCAGGCAAGTGCTTGTGCCACTGAGCTAAATCCCGGCTAATACTCTGTGTCATATCAAACACTACTTATTGTGGTATGCTTTCATTTAGCGCTGATGTTTCAAAAGTGAGTGTAAGGAAGCATGTAACACTCAGCGTAACTTGGTACCACTGAAAGTGTTTATTAGTTTGTCTCATAAACAAGCTGGAAACAAAACAAGATGTATTGAACAAATATCAGAACAGATTTGAAGAGTTTTCATATTCAAAATATTGCATAGAGTTCAGTATTACTATAAAAATACAGAATATATTGAAAATATTACAAAAGAAGCATATTATACTGAAAGTTTACAATTTAAGTAATATGCCGCATATTATTAGAAGATTAATTTAGGCTGACAACCCACATTTTTTAACATACATCTGAAAACTGACTCTGTTTATAAAGAGACTTTAAAATTCCTGAACAACCACTTCCTTAGTTTTCTATAGAAGCAAATTTGTTATCCTGATAGATACATTAAGGACAGACACAGACATCCTTGTTCCAAACAGGCACGTTCTCCCCTTGTTCAGGAAGTTAGTGAGTTTTCAGCTTGTGAATATTGACTGTGTTGCCTTCCTTCACTTTTGACTTACTACTTGTTTTTCTTCTTCCACAGCAGGCAGTCAATAATAGCAAGTCCCAGGATTTCAGACTAGACTCACAGTCTGCAGCACAGTAAGCCACTTCTAAGTACTTTGCAGTGATAGAGTTGATTTGGGTTTTTTATTGTTTTTGATTTTTGGTACCAGGAATCAAACTCACGACCTTGCACTTACCAGGCAGGTGCTTGTGCCACTGAGCTATATCCCCGGCCCTGATTTGGGTTTTTTAAAGGATAATTTCTCCACTTCCTTTTTTATAGTATATGATCCCACTACAAATTAATTTTACATACTTAATTCTTTTGTTTTTTTATTTTAAAGAGAATAAAAAACAATAACAGACAAAACCAAAATAACACAAAAACAATAAAAATGATACAGGGTTTCAAAACAAAATGATAGGAATTAACAATGGTTGTTATGTTACATATTTTTATCTTCAATGAAGTTGCACAGATTACCAGATATAAGAGTGCAAGATTGATCAAAGTATTAAAGAGAATAAAAAATAATTTTAAAAAACAGTAGAAATGATGCAGAGCTTCACTAAACAAGATGGTAGGAATTCACCAGTGGTTGTTATATTGCATGTTGTTGTATTCATAGTTGTTCAGATTACCAGATATAAACATACAAAATAGGTCAAAAAAATTTAAGCATGAATTTGATTCCCGGTACCAAAAAAAAAAAGAAATTTAAGCATTAACTGTTCCTTTCAATCAACCAATAGACATCATCAGTGCAATTATCCCAGCTATCCTTCTATATGCCTATATGCATATATATGTATATATATATATTTTTTCCCTTCCTTCTTTCTTTTTCTCCTTTCCCTCATCCCAGTTTCTTTCCCTTTCACAGTATCTGTTGTACCTTTTCAGTTTTATTTATTCTTTCAGGTTTGTGTGGTTTTTTTTTTTTTCCATTTTCCTCTAGTTTATTCTCATTTTTTAAATTTTATTTTAGAGAGAGTAGTAAATGAGAAACAAAGAAATAGAACAATAGCAGCATACCAGTGTCACAAACATAAACAAATCAGAGCAAGAACATTCAAAGTGATACAGAGTCCCAAGACAAAATAATACGAATCAACAGTAGTTGTTACATTACATATCGCTGTCCTCAACTACAGTGCTCAGATTACCAGATGTAAGAGTGAAAGACTGCTCAAACCATTATAGGGAATAAGAAAATAATTCTTTGACAAAACAGTAGAGATAATACAGAGTTTCACTAGACAAGATGGTAGGAGTTCACCGTTGTAATTCCATTGCATATTGTTGCCTTCAAATCTGTTGCTCAGACCACCACACACAAGCATGCACAATTGATCAGAACATAAAAAATTGTAATCATTGACTGTTCATTTCAATATACCATCAGACATCAGCAGTTCAGTTCTCACAGCTATTCATATATATATTTATATTTTGCATTCCTTCTCTTTTGGGAGACAATGTGATATTTACACATGTGAATCTGATTTATTTCATTTATGACTCTTGTCTCTAGTTGCATCCATTTACCTATAAAAGCCTCAAGTTTATCTTTTTTATAGTTGAGTAATACTCCATTGTATAAAAATACCACATCTTCTTTATCCATTCCTCAGTTGATGGACATTTGGATTGTTTCCAAGATTTAGCTATGACAAATTGTGCTGCTATAAACCTGGGTGCACGTATATCTCTGTGGTCTGGGAAAATAGCCAAAAGGGGAATAGCTGAGTTAAGTGGGATCTCTAATTCTAGTTTTGTGAGGAATCTCCACACTGATTTCCACACTGGTCTCGCTAGTCTACACTTCCACCAGCAGTGGAGACAGGTTCCTTTTTCTCCACAGCCCCTCCAGCATTTCTTATTGGTTGATTTCTTGATGATGGAATGCAGGAATAGTTCAATATATGCAAATCAGTTACACCATATCAATAGACCCAAAGACAAAAATCACATGATCATCTCAAGACATGCAGGAAAAGCTTTTGATAAAGTCCAATGCTCATTCATGATAAAAACTCTACAGAAAGTAGGAGTAGATGGTCTTTACTTCACTCTGATAAAAGCCATCCATGACAAACCAATAGCCAACGTCCTACTAAATGGACAAAAACTGAAAGCTTTCACTTTAAAATCAGGAAGAAGACAAGGATGTCCATTGTCGTCATTCCTATTCAATATAGTACTGGAAATATTAGCCTTAGCAATTAGACAAGGAATAAGGGTAGGATAGGAAAGGAAGGAATAAGGATAGGAAAGGAATAAGGATAGGAAAGGAAGAAGTGAAATTATCATTATTTGCAGATAACATGATACTCTACATAGAAGACCCCAAAAACTCCACACACTTGGTTAAGAGTGTAGCTAGTTTATGCAGAATGTTTTAGTAGTTGTACTTTGAGAAGACATATTATTCTGAAGCCATAAGAAATAATACTAAGTAAAATAACATCAGACTAAACTTCAGAGGGCCTATTTTGTCATTTACCTGTGTTTGAGTAGCATTGTGAAATAACATCAACTGAAAACAAGTCAATGAGGTAATAAAGATAAAACCTAGGAAATTCCTATTTTAAGGCCTTAAAGAAAAAAAGCTAATATCCAGAACATTATCATTGTATATTTTCTACAAATGCCTGCTATGTTTGAGTTGTTTATTTTGGATATTTATTTTATAAACCTCTGGGAAGATTTTATATTTTTATTTGATATGTCTTATGTCACTTAGTATGTAAATAAAAATTTTTCTTCTATATCAGAAACCATCTCAAAATATCTCTCAGTGTTTATTATTTCAGATTACCTTTGGGACCTGATATTAGCCCAGGCTTTATATTCTATTATATTACTAAGAAAAGATCACATGAGTATAACAGCAGAAACAGCTCGGAGATCAATGTTCCTCCCGTCCCACCATGTTTACACACATATGCACACAATTTCTGCTGAATTTCCTTTAGGAAAATTAGTTCACATTAGCCCTGCCATAAGCTTTCACAGTTTGGAGAATAATTTGTCTCTTGTGCTTCAAAAACTCTAGTTGAAATGACAGTAATTTACAGGAATTGTCAAATAAAACCGTACAGTATCTTACAAGATGATACTTCATTCTGTAGGTAAAAGGCATGTAATTTTAAAGTGACCCTTAAAAGAGTCACAGAATTATGATCTAGAAAATATCTTAGAAAACTGTTCCATTATTCTTCTGCTTTTATAGTTTTGAAAACGAAGAGGAGAAGGGTTGTTGCAAATTTCATAACACACATTTATATCAACACCTGCACCAAGACCTAAGTCTCCCGATTCCCGGCTACTAAGGTTTTTTTGTTTCTTTTCTGACTAGATATAGTGTCCACAGGTTCCTTGGTGAGTTGTCATCTTATAGATTTCTTTTTGAGAGAAAAGCTGTGTTGCTAATTATATAACTGCATGTATAGTTTCAGAGCACATTTGCCCACATTATTGCATTTGACCCTTAAATTATCACTGGAAGAGAGGCAGACCAGTATTCTGATCCCCCGGCCCTTTTACCAATGGAGAGATAACATCTGAAAGGCTGGGGCTTGGCCTGAGTCGTTGCCCATGGTCCATGGCAGACCCAGTACCAAAACATAGGTCTGATTCTACTTTGCTCCTCCCCACGCTCTCCCTCGGCCTGTCCCACCTTGAGACCCCAGGTTTCTCAGGCTTTGGTGTCTGTCTGCCAATATGTTCAGTTCCAAATTCAGAATAATTGAAATTTTACATAATAGAGCATACGGTCACTGGCCCCAAGGAGCTGATTCCTCAGAGACAAATTACACTTATTTTTTTAAATGGAAGAATGAGGACAGACTGTTTCAACAACCAAAAAAAAAAAAAAACAGACTACTTGTACATTGTGGGAACACTGTTCTCAGTGTCTTTGAAGGAGTTTTACAAAAAAATTCAGGACTTCTTACTAAATATTATACAAATGAAAGAGTGCCTTCCACACACCACCCTGCTGTCCGGATAGCTGTGTTCAAGTGATGCACAGAGCCGCACCCGGCCCTCCAGATTAAAGCTCAGTGAGACTCAGACACCTCAGTTTCTAAAAGCTGTCAGGGTGGCCCAGCTTCTCTTTTTGCACATAGAGTATGTAGGAACCTCCTAAAAACAAACTAATTAGAAATTGAGACATACCTAAATATTCATGTTCATTTAAAATCTTTAGGCTTTTCCTGTACTCATAATTTCTTTGAAGGTTGAATTAACGTGGATGTGTATGACTTGAAACTTCTCGTAACTTGCAAGCTGTAGTAGCTGGTGGAAACACTGTAGTCCAGCATGCACAGAGAGTCATGTCTTCATCCCTTTAATTTACTTAAGTCCACCATACCCAAGTACATGGACACAGGCTTGTTTTGTTTCCTTACAGTCCTGCCTTGCATTTGCAACATTTGCTCATTTGTTAAAGGAACAAATATAGTTAACCATCGGAATTAACAGCCTCTTGACACTTTCCACTTGAATTTCTTATCTTTTTTTCTGAGAAATGTCAATCACTTTACACGCATTTTAATAAAGCTGCTATCTTTTAGATATCAAGAAGAAACTTTTGGGGCTGGGGATTTACCTCAGTGGCACAGCACCTGCCTGGCAAGCGCAAGGTCATGAGTTCGATTCCCAGCACTGGAAAAAAAAAAAAAAGAAGAAGAAACTTTTATAAGTTAATTGACAGAGATGACCTTTTATGAGGGGGGGTCAGTACTGGAATCAAACCCATGACCTCGCAATTACCAGGCAGGTCTGAGCTATATCCCCAGCCCTAAAGACACTTTCTTGAAGATCTTAAACTTTGACTTTTTGTACTTCATGCCCTTGTGACTTTTTTATTAATTAGCTGCTACCCAAGGTTATAGTGAAGCTTCTATAAATGTTATAATCCTTAAGAAGTATCATTAATATGTCCTAGTTATTTACATATTCTAACTTGAGTTTCATGGGGGTTGTTTGTTTGGGTATTTTAACGTTAGAAGGCTTTATTTCATTAACAACTTTGGTCAGAGAGGTTCATTCAGATGGTCAGTCGTATCACCTTCATTTGTAAATAGTT